CACCCCCACCCCAGGACACCCCAGATTTCCCCAAAAGCCCCCCAGGACCCCCACCCTCCTCCAGCCCCCCTCAGCATAACGAAAAGGAAAAGCAAACCAAAGCGCAGAAAACACGCAGTGCATTACGAGCAGCACTTGCAGCCTTCTTCTTTCCCCTCCCCTGCCCCACTTTTTGCTCTGCTCCCCATAGCATTGGGGGGTGGGGGGGGGAGCCCACAGCCGAGTCCTGAGTGCAGTGGGTGCAGCACAGTTCAGCACAGCGTGTGGGGCTGCAGCCACCATCAGTGCCCATCACCCCCCCCCACCTCCATCTGCCCGTCCCAGAGGAGCAGGGATGGGGTTGGGGGTCTCAGAAAGCTGCAGCCCCCCCTCCCTGCTCCACCCCCCCAGCACGATGCAGTTTGACATCCCAGCACCACTCTGAAGGTTTCCTCCTCTGCTCTGTGGCCACACGGCCATCCCACAACCCGAAGGGGGCACGGAGGGATGGGGACAACACAGCGACAGCTTTTTGGGGCAGCCCTCAGGTCGTGGGGTGGGACCCCAAAGAGTGCAGCACCAGCAAACCTACAGCTCTGTTCCCAAACTGCACAGCACTGGGGGGGGCACGGCTCACACCCCACAGCACAACGCTTGCTGCTCCTCTGCCCCAGCAAACAAAGCTGAGGAGCCAACAGAGCGGCACAGAGCTCTGCTCGCTTCCGGGCACCGCAGAGCTGCGAAATGGAACACAGAACCCACGGGGGACCCCAGAACCCACGGGGGATCCCTCCGCTCCCACCTCAGCCCCACGGCGCAGCATCCCAGCTGGGACCCAACACACCGCCAAGGAAACGGGCGCAGCGCCCCCGGCTGCTCGCTGAAAGGAGGGAACGTCCCGAATGCTGCAGCACAACACGGGCTGGGGGAAAATGTGTGCAGCAACGTCGCTCCAACCACCTGCACGGTGCTCCCTCGGCTGCTGCAGTTCATACCAGTGCTGCAGGAGTTTGCATTGCTGCTGCAGCTCACCCGATGGAGACGAGCTGCTGGGTGCCATGGCACAGAGAAACGTGCTGCAGTGCTCCTCCTGCTGTCCCACGGGCTGCACGGGGGTCCAGGTGTGGGGCACGGGGGGCGGTGCGGGCAGGACGGAGCTCCGAGGGCCCTCGTGTGGGGAGCTGCTCTTCTGGAGCTGCAAGGGGTCCTTCGAGGGGGGAATGGGCTCCTGGAGATGGAAGAGGTCCTTCACGTGGAGATGTTCTCCTCGTGGAGCTCGGAGGGGACCTTCACACGGGGAACTGCTCGTCTTGGTGCTGCAGGTCCTTCACGTGGGGATTTGGGCTTCCGGAGCTCTGAGCTCCTTTGCGTGGGGCGCTGCTCTTCTGGAGCCCCGAGCTCCCGGGGGGCACTGCTCTCCCAGCGCTGCACACTGAGCGCTCCCTGCCTCTCTCCGAGCGCTGGGCTCGGCAGCTCAACCCCCCATGGGGCTGTGAGGAGGAGGGGGGGTCCGGGGGTCTGAGCTGTGCCCCCCCCACACGGTGGTCTCACAGCAGAAGGGAGGACGGCTCCGGGATCCTCCATCCCCCCTCCGCAAACCTCACGGTGAGGATTTCAGCCACAACAAAAAGAGGGAAAAAAAAAAAAAGAAAAAAGGGAAAAACCAAAAGGAAAAAAAAAAAAAAGAGAAGAGGCGGCGGATCCTTTCTGCAGGCGCCCGCTGCTCCCATCCATCCCTGTGTCGGGAGCCGAAGCGGCGGCCGATCCCACGCTGCTCTCCATCCCCCTCCGGCAGCTCCGCTCTGCTCTCCGGGGCTGAACGCTGCGAGAGGGGTGGGAGGGGCTGAGGGGGGGAGAGGGGGTAGAGCCCCCACCACCGCTCCCTGGAGGCTCCCGAGGGGAAATAAAGGGTTGTCCCCCAGAAATGCAGTTCTATGACCAGACGCCCCCTCCCCCTCCCATGCTGTGCATCACATCGTCTCCCTTCCTCTCTCCAAAACCCCGGAGGATCTCTGCTTGAAGACACACACTGCTATAAAACAAAGGAGGGAAGAGGAAAAACCCTGGGCTGGGGGTGCTGTGCGCCGATCCCAATGGGTTGGTTTTCTCTTTTCCTCCACTCCCTTATTATTATTACTACTACTATTATTTTCTGGTTTAATTTTTGGGGGTGTTTTTTTGTTATTGCTGTTTCAGGCCCAAGCACCAGCCGTGCTTCACTTTCCTTGACTCAACACACCATGATGCACTGTGAGAAAGGGGAGAGAACGGGCAGATGGAGCATCAGAGGTGGAGATGGGGGCCGTGCAGGGGCAGAGGGGCTGCGATGTGATGCTCCTGGGGTCCCCGCCAACCCGAGCCGTCCTACAGCTCTACGGCAGCCGCACCAACCTGACGCCCCGCTGAACATCAGCCCATCTCTTTCCACTGCTTGTAGAACTCCAGGATGTTCTTCACTTCCACGCTGGCGCCAGCGGCTGCTTGGATGGCAGACTGCAAGAAAGCAGCACCCGGATGGCACACAGCAAAGGGCCCAGGGCTCCCAGCCACGGCCAGGGGGCTCCCACTTATCGTGCAGGGGCTCCCACTTATCGTGCAGGGGCTCCCACCTGCACCAGAGGGGCTCCCAGCTCCAAACTGAGTTTGGGGAAGCCAGCACTGTGATTGCACAAAGCATCCGAGCCCCCAAAGCCAACCAGGCAGCTTGCAGCCCTGCTGGGAAGCTCAGCCATGTGACCGACCTGCATGGGCGCTGAGAGCGCGCTGGGGTCCTCCAGCTGGAAGCCTGTGATGATGGTGACCATCCCTGTGGTGTCATCATCCCCGCTGCTCTGGGACACCGTCAGCTGCTTGCAGCTGTCCAGGATCTTATAGAGGTTCCTGCCACGCAGATGGAACCAATGAGAGATGGAGGAGAGATGGCTTCCTGCACAAATGGCTCCCAATACACCCAGGGAACACGGGGCCGGAGAAGAGAAGGCTGCGGGGTGAGCTCACTGCAGCCTGCAGTTCTTAAAAAGCAATCACCAACAGGAGAGGAATCGACTTTTTCCTCAGGTAGAGAGTGATGGACATGGGGGAATGGATTTCAGGTGGAGGAGGGAAGGTTTGGCTGGGATGTCAGGGGAAGCTCTTCAGAGAGGCTGCCATCCATCCCTGGAGGCGCTCAGGACCAGGTGGGATGGGGCCCTGGGCAAGCTGGGCTGGCAGCAGAGCTGCAGCTTGGTGGCCCTGCCTGGGGCAGGGGGGTGGAGCTCGGTGAGCCTTGGGGTCCCTTCCAACCAACCACCCTGTGATCCTATGACCGCTCCTCCGCTGCCTCTCACTTACCACGCATCCAAGTCTTGTCTCTTCAATTTGTGCCTCTCAAAGCTCTTCCCAACATCTCTCTGGCAACGAATGTACCTAAGGAAAGAGGAGAGTGGCTGAGCTGAAAGCAAGCATCCCACAAACAGAGCCAGAGCTCCACAGCAGCTCCGTGGGCTCCTCTGCTCTGCCACACAAATCCCCACAAAGCACCCAGCAGCGCCTCAGAGCGGTGCTGACGGAGCAGAGCGTCCCTGCAGGAGCACTGCTGCATGTCCTCTCACTGCAAACCCGGCAGCAGAGCCACCCCAGCCCTTCAGCAAAAGTTACTGTGCAGTTTGCTCCCCCCACGTTGGCATCACTCTCCCATCCTCACCGGTTTCCCTTTTTAAATTCCGCCTCCAGGTAGCGGATGCCGTCCCGGGCGCCGGCGTTCTCCTTCTTGAGGAAATCCAAGCTGTCGATCACTGAAAGGACGCACAAAGAACAGCAGGGTGAGGTCTGTGCCTCTGCACGACTCCACATCTCCAGGAGGGGAGGCACGCAGAGCTCCCACACCTGCCCGTGGGATGATGATGATGAACCTCCCGCTGCTGGCCAGCTGCTTGACCACGGCCAGGTGCTGGCAGAGCGCCTGCGCGTCCAGCACGAGGTACGGAGACATGGCTGACTGTGCCTTGGGCTGCTGCAGGCTGCCCTCCAGCTGAGACACCTCCAGCTGAAAAACACGCAGAGATGCTGCCTTTACCTCCGGGCGGTGACCCAGGAGGGTGAGGTTTTGCCTTCCAGCCCCCAGCACACAGAGCAGAGCTGGGGACGGTCTGCTCCATTGCACCCATCTCTGCGGGAGCACAGCTCTCCCTCATCCCATCCCAACCCTCCCTACCTGCAGGCGGAGCTGAGCCATGTCTCTCATCAGCCGGTTCCGACGAGCCTCCTCTGCGGCCTGGTCACGGAAACAAAGCTCCATCAATCAGCACAACAACAGCACGAGGGACGGGGTGGGAAGGGGGCGCAGAGCAGCTCACCATGTGGAACTGGGCCTGGGCCTGCTGCACCACGCTGTCCTGCTCCGACTGCGCTATGCTGATGAAGATCCCCAGCTCCGGGTTGAACTGCAGGATGCTGCCCTGCAGCCGTGTGACAAAGTGCCCGAAGCTCCGGATGCAGCAGATCCGAACGACGGACTGCAAAGACGCACAGAAACAGGGGAAACATCCCTGGTGAAAATGGGAGCGATGCGCAGGGAGGGCTCAGCCCACAGGCAGCACAAAGTCGGGCAGAGTTTGTGGTCTGAGCTGCTGAAGCTCAAGGAAGAGGCAGAGAACATCGCAGGGCTCTCCCTTGGAAACCTCTGCCAGGAGGAGCAGAGGGAAGGCACCCTGTGCACACTGATCTGGTGTGGTCCCAAATGGCAGCTCAGAGCAGCATCCTTAAGCCAAAGACATCGGGATGCTCCCCATCCTTCCTTCCCCAGAGGTTCTGATGGGGACAGCACGCTGCTTTTCTGATACGCAGATGGCTTTGGCACCCACCGTGAGCTCAGGCTCAGACTGGAACCAGCCCGGGCTCTGCTTTGTAGGAAAGCACCCCACTGAGGCACATGCACCAGATTTGGGATCCGCCCGACTCACCTCCTCCACTGCTGAGAAGATGGGGCGGTCCTGCTCGAAGTTCAGCCTCCTGTGTGCGTTCCTCAGAGGGGGCAGATTTCGCAGAGCCACGTCCTCAGGGAGCAGCAGGTTGGCACGCAGCTCCGGCAGCTCCGCCCCGCTCAGCACCTCCCTCACCTCCTTACACAGCTCCAGCCCTGGGCACGAGGGAGCACAGCACCGCGTCAGCACAGACCCCAATGCGTGGGGACAGAGAGGAGGGGAGGCCCCACGGCACAGAAGGCGATGGGTGCGCAGAGCCGACGCTCAGGGGACGGCATTTGGCCATGTGGGGTTTGAGCAGAGAATAACACGTGGAAGAGGTTCCTCCCTGCTGTGCTGATGGCTAAGGGATGGCATGTAACCCCAGATGGGTTTGAGCAGAGAAGAACATGGCAAAGTGCAGAGTTTGGCACTTGGGCTGAAGGAATCGCAGGCACCCATACAGACTGGAAGGAGCAGCCATGGAGAGCAGCCCTGCAGGGAGGGACCTGGGGGTCCTGAGGGATGAAAAGCTGAACGTGAGGCAGCAGGGTGTGATTACAGCTGGGAAAGCAAATGGGATCCTGGGCTCCAGCAGCAGAGGGGTGGCCAGCAGGGACAGGGAGGTGATCGTCCCTCTCTGCTCTGCTCTCGTGAGGCCCCATCTGCAGCACTGCGTCCAGGGCTGGAGCCCCAGGACAAGAAAGACAGGGAGCTGTTGGAGAGGGTCCAGAGGAGCCACAGAGATGAGCAGGGGGCTGCAGCACCT